GGTGGATCCAAAGGAAAACCAAGCAGAGGACAACCACCTATTCGGGGGCCCTCCAAAAAGAAGCACGCCCGGAGTTTGCGTTGGCACAGCGCCGCGCGGTCCGGCCCAGCTTTGACGTCCATGCCACGGACCGTTTCGGGGGCAGCGGCTTGCACTGGGCGGCCAGCGGCGGGCACCTTGAGGCGCTTCTCGTTGCGAGCGACGTGGCCTGGAACGAGCGCAACCCCAAGCAAAACCCCCACCCCAAAACATGGGACTTCCGGAGATCAACAGAAAGAGCCAGCCCAAAACACCCTTTTCCGGGTTCCGTGTGGACCTTTAGGAGAGCTGGAAGAATCGCGCAGCAAGGCCGAATGCTTGGTAGAACACGTCCAATTCTGTGGTTTGGGGTTGAACAAGGATCCTGAAGCAGCTACAGACCTCTGGCTGGTAAATGATTGCCCGTTTCATACACCCTAGCAGCTCTACCGTTGAGTGCACCCACAATATCCCTGAAAAAGCCCTGGCTATCCCGTATCACTAACAGTATCCTGGTGGATTAGAAGCTCCACGGAAGTTTGCGGAAGTCCTGAATGGGGCTCGGATGAAATTCTAGACTTGGCTACGGACAACTGTGTAACTTCGGCCAACACACTTGAACAGTTTGCTCGGGTCAAGAGCGACAAGACGAAGGCTTGGAAGACTTGGTGGTTGTTGTTGGTCGCCTCTTGGAGGTGTGTCGCCTGCTGGTGGAGCACCAGGCGACGCGGTGCTGCTGCGTGGCCTATCACCTCCCTAAGTATCCCTTGGATCAAGTACCGGATATGCACACTCACCGCCACCCCTACACCCACCCCCGCGCACCCACGCACCCGCCACGCACACACACACATGGCCGAGTGCCCTTCTCTGGAATACAAGCAGCTTGAGTTTTCTTGCAGTGTCCCGCTTGAAGTGTAGCAACTACGACGTGTGGGTGTTGACATTACAAGCCTGAGCCGCCTCGCATTAGTGTATTATTCAGTTGATTCATTCCAACTTGCCAACAGCGTTTCGCTGCCTGGGGCAACTGGCTTCCCTCAATGCGTGTGCAGTCTCCCCAAACGTTGAACAACGCGTTGTCCACCTGTCATAATAATGTGTGTCTACAAAATCTGACCCATCAATGAATCAAGGTTTGAGATACGCATGCCACAGATGCCTCAAGGTTACGACAGATGTCAGAGGCCAGAATCATAAAACGTTATAGAGTAGTGCTACTTCTCAGTACTCCAACAGATTCTGCGCTCAAAAAAGAAATGTTTGCCAGTGTCCTTATGCCCTGGTGACCGCAGGTGGAACCCTGCAAAGATGCGGCTCGAACAGAATCTAGCTTTGTGGAGAAATCTATCTTCCGACGCTATCTAAATGAAGCCAGGTGCTCGTGCGGACACCATAATTTGAAGATCTCTTGGCCAGTGATTCTAAAGAAGCTCGTCACCTCGTGTTTTTCATCGCTCTTTAGGACCTCAGCCAAGCAGTGTGTGCTGTGTTTCCAAATTCTCTTTCTTTCTTTCTTTCTTTCTTTCTTTCTTTCTTTCTTTCTTTCTTTCTTTCTTTCTTTCTCTCTCTCTCTCTCTAGCGAAAGCGCTCTCCGTGGCCGCGATCTTCGACGCGGCGATCCGATGGTCCGAGCTCTCGCTGCGCTCGCGGCGCTTGCGCTGGCGTGGGCTGAGCTCCTCAGAGACGACGAGTGCCTTGACGGCAGCTGTGCGCTGAGCGCGCTGCAGCTGAAAGCCAAGCCGGAGGCCGGAACCTGCCCAGCAGCGCCAAGGGAAGGCAAGCGGAAAGCCAGCCATTTTTGGGGGGCCCGCTTGTCTTGGAAGCACCTAGCTTGGGCTTGAGGATGGGGTTCGGATACGATTGGGATGAGGAACGGGTTGAGCTTGACTTGGCGTGAGATCGACCGCGAAAGGGTGTGGTTGCATGCATCCCTCGAGAAAACGCTTGCGCACTTACACATCTTGTACTTGCGAGGGGTTGGCAGCTTTCCCAACATAATATATTCCCCACCCTGAAGACGTACAGAAAAAAACGGTTGTTTTGACGCCCAATAAATCCCGAACTAATCCCAGGTGGCGGAATTCCATATTTATCAACATCCACTTGCCAGTCAGCTTGTGGCATCACCCAGCAATACCACAACAGTTCTAAACCAGTACTGGACGAGCACAAAGCAGTATGTACTGAGAGACTACTTGAGTAGGCGCATCTCTGATCCCCAATTCGCTTTTCGTTTTTGCCGATAACCCGCTCATTTGTTTGGGTGGCGGGCCCTCTTCCAATCACTCCCCCTCATTATACATAGCATGCTTTCTCAATCCGGAAGCAAGTGCATCACGTCCTCGAGGCCTTGGACAGGGTTCCTGGGTTCCCTGGTGCCTGGCTACCATTTTAAATACGGAATATCCTCCAAAATGGTTGCTTTTCCCAACGCCTTGAGGGTCCGCAATTGAAATCATGCCCACCTATCTTGGATCCTGGTGCTGTTGTTTGTTTCGCCGCAAAGCGCCAGGTGGACCTTGATATCCTCTGCAGCAAGGCTGACAGTGTGTGCAGCGCCCTAGGAGACGATGGGGGACCCTCCCTGACGGACCTGCGGCAGTTGCTGGCAGTGGCCAACAGTACCTTCCAGGACGGGCGCCGATGGGGCCACAGGGCTGGTTGCCCACGGTTTGGTGAGTAAACAATCAGTTGCTGTGGCTTGACCTGAACGAAAACGGCTGATTGACGTGCCCCTGCGGGCCAGCCCGTTTCTTGCCCCTTGGCAACTGTGTGCATTGCGCAAATGGATTTACCATTTCGGGTGACGTCTGCATTTTGCCCGTTCAATTTTGGATGGCCCGCCTGTTGACATGTGCAAGTGAGTCAAACGCCGACATAAGGGTATTGTTGGCGTGCCGGGTTGAGCACTGACACTGATCGATTCCTTGATGTTGGCAACCCAAACAGCGACAGAGGCCAGCGCATGCGCAGAAGATTGGACAGCACGCAGGCATGCACCTTTTGAGGAACTGTTCTGTTGCTTGCATCATGTAGCGCAAAGAATAGCTTTAGTCCAGACGATCTTCAATTTCTTTCCCTCGTTGAAAAAAGCACCAGAGCTCTGGCCCGTCATTTGTGGAAGTGGGAAAGCCTCCCGCCCTAGGCCTTCTCGGATGCGATTGATCTGCATAACCTGGTGGAGAATGAGCTCGTTCCCTGCAAGGCGACACCGGTGCTAGCCACCTGTTGCCAAGATGGCGTCCAACCAACAAAATATACCAGCGTAGACCCCAAACAGCCGCGCGCCGTTTGTTGCAGCGCTCGGCTCAGTCTTGAAACTTGGCCACATCATAATGATGCAGGACGCATCGCAATGATGCAGGCCGCATCATGATGGTGCATGCACCATCATGATTGATGCTGGCAGCTTTAGGCTAAGGCAGGCCGCATCATGATGATGCAGCCGAAGCCACACTACATGTAGGCGGCGCCAGCATGATGCAGACCGCATCATCAAGATGCAAGACGCGCACGGTGAGCGCATAGGCACATGAGAATGCAGGCAGCATCACGCCTTGTTATACTAATGCGGGACGCTTAACCAAAATGCAAGCGGCAATGCGACAATTCAGGCAGCGTCATGCTGACGCCGACAGGCCGCTAATGACGGAGGAACAACGCAGGAAACATGGGCGTAGCGCAGGCCGCATCATAATGATGCAAGCAGCATCATCATCATCGTCGTCACTATTATTATCATCATCATCATCATCATTGCGCAGGCTGGTAACCGTGATGCGAACGGCGCGATGTTCACACGCTAGCAGGCATGCGCTTGCGCGCGCAGCATCTTGATGACGCAGACGGCGTCGTGATGATGCAGGCAGCATTGTGATGACACAGGCGTCGTTTTGATGAGGCAGGAAGCATCATAATGGTTATGATGCAGGCGGCAGCACCTGCGAGACTCTGCGTCGCGAAGCGCATGTATAAGGTGTGAGTTTCTGGGCATTCGGCTAGTTGTCAAGTCGTAACATAGCGCTACTGTAAGGCTCATCGAACACACCGGGGGCTGCTTGCTGCTGTTTGGAGTCTACGCTTTTTGCGGCAGGTTGCGTGATGATGATGCAGGCAGCTTCATCACAATGATTTCTGGCCGCATCATCAGGATCAAGGCGGCGCGCGACGAGTGTGCGGGCAGCACCAGGATGATGAAGCAGGCGACGTCATAATGATGCAGGCCGCACCATCCGGGCGCAGGCCGCAATATGACAGCGCAGGCAGCGTCATGATGACACAGGCAGGCTGCTAATGACGCAGGACACAAACAGAGAACGCGTGACTCTGCGCGCATAATGCGGGCCGCAGCATAATGCTGCAGAGCCTCTGGCAGCGCTCGCCGCTCGCCAGAAGGCATTTGGCAGCGCTAACCAAGCTGGGAGACAAATGAACTCGTTTACTAAGCCGGACGGCCGGAGAAGCGTGCTCCCGAGCTGGGAGACAAATGAATTTATGTAGTCAGCCGCTGCAGAGCGCCTGGCAGCGCTTAACCAAGCTGGGAGACAAATAAACTCGATTGCTAAGCCTGCCGGCCGGAGAGGCGTGCAATCTGGCAGCGCCAGCCCGAGCCGGGGGACATTTTTAGTTACGCCCGCCCGGAGAGGCGTGCAGAGCATCTGGCAGCACTAACCGCTGGCTGGAGAAGAGTGCAGAGTATCTGGCAGCGTTAACCCGAACTGGGAGACAAATGAACTTATGTAGTCAGACGTCCCGCGATGCGTGCAGAGCGTCTGGCAGCGCTAACCAAGCTGGGAGACAACATGATTCATTTAGTCAGCCGCGCGCCCGGAGAGATCTGGCAGCGCTGGAGACAAATGAACGTGTAGAGCGTCTTGAAGCGCTAACCAAGCTGGGGCGCATGAATGCCGCCCGCCCGGAGAGGCGTGCAGAGCATTTGGCAGCGCTAAGCAAGCTGGGACACAAAAGAATTCGTTTACCAAGCCGCCCGCTCGGAGAGGCGTGCAGAGTATCTGGCAGCTCCCGATCGAAAACAAGGAACCTGCTTGGGGAAAACGGGCCTTAATTTGGATGGCGCTTCAAGCAAGCAATCAAACCGATCAGCTTTCACCCATCATTTTTAAGTCATTCCAGAATGTCAGCCTGTGATATTTGGATGCTTTTGGAGCATGTGAGGGCATCCCCTGTGAATGAAGTTGCCCTGATTGATCTGAGGTTGACTCAAAAAGAAGAAGCCACCCAAATACAATAGTTCAAACCACCACAACGGGGTTATATAGCTGAAAGAGCGCTGGCTCCTCAAATCCTCTCCCTTCAAAGCTGACGAGATGTATGTTCATCTAAGGGCATGCAGAAGCCATTTGCTTTCAGCTGTTTGGAGGTTAATACAAGCCACAGGCCATTGCATTCCTTCGATCTCAAGGGTGGTGGGTTCGGGAGACTTTCTGATGGAGATACGGTCCAAGATTCCGCTTGCGCCCTAAGTGAGTGCCAGTTTCAAGTTGACTTTCTTGCGAGTAAGTCCCAAGGCTCTAAAACATCCAGGCGCATAAAGAATGTTAGAATATCATTTGCGGAATTCAGCCGCCTTACAGGACACAAATCAACAATTGCTTTGGGACATCCTGTTGGCACGGAAAGCCACAGCTGAATTTGCATCAGCGCAAGCCAGTCAGTGATTCAACGTGCACAACAACTCCATTCCCTATGGCGAACTCAC